AATGGACATAGAATCACATGTGGGTTTGGCATGAATCAAGTAGGGGTGATACAATGGATATAGCCTCTACTCTTAAGATTTTGGTGCAGTAATAAATTGAAGATATTCATGAGTATGTTTTGATTATAAACTTTGGGAATGAAAGTACAAATGAGTGGTAGGACACAGGAAGTTGGGGGAAAGCATGCAGCTGGTAAGTATAGCTAGGCTAGAGGCTAGAGGCTAGAGGCTAGAGGTTGAGTTTAGGCATTAATATTTTGATGCTAGAGAGATGAGAATTAATTAATGTTAAGGTTGGAGTCATAAATCAGGCCTGCAAAACTCAAGGCCACATGTTTCAGTTAGAAAGTGAGAGGCCCCAAATTCCTGTATTAAACTCTCTGTAAGTGGGACTGGGTGATGAATCAAAATTACATTTGACAACTAATTAAATGAAACTGGGTACCTAAGATATATATAGATGGTTGAATAAATTGATGTTATTAGTACGTAGTTCAATCAAGTTGGGCAGTGGAAGCGGAGGCTGAAGAGAAGTGGAATCTTTGTCTCCCATATGGGAATCAGAGAGTTAAAAGTGGGGTGGATAATGAACAGAGAACCATTTGTCCATATGCAAATGCATTAATTGATTCATTTGGCCAAACTAAGGGGCTCTGTACACAAAAAGGAGGGGGTGCGGGTGCTGTTTCATTTACATTATATTGACGATGAAGATCACATTCCGGTGGGGGCCATACATTTTTTCTCAAATAATTTGGGAAATCATTCGGAGTACCATCAACTTCTAATCGACCAAACTCATCCACCATTTATGATTGGGTATGGGATGGAAGTAATTGCCTAATTTTATGGGGATTATGTACACTTGATTGATACCTATCACGCAACCGACATAGTTTTCACGAATACCTTTTGCATTCCTATCTTAATTGGAAAATATTAGGCTCCTTATCACCGCCCCTATGTTTGACAACTCATTAATTTTTTTAGAAAAGTGTACTCTATTTTTGCATTTCTCTCTCTTAGTTATCAAACATTTAATAGTGGTGAGGGCAAGATTCATCATCACCACTAAGGAGCTAAGTAAAGTATTTTCCTTCTCAACAGTCATTTGTATTTTTAACATGGCAAATATAAGAATAGTAATAAAAACAATGGTATTTTTATTTCGTATTTCATAATAACAATAGTAATGGTTACACATTTAAATATACATATATATATAAATAAGATGACGAAATTGCACCATGGAGTGAAAAACAATTTTAATTTGAGCTCTATTGAATTTGGATGGGACAAACTTAGACATACGTCAGATTGAAATATGTATTAACTAGTTTCTCTAGTTTCTCAAGTTAGAGATGTAAACGATGATCTAAGAGATGGATTAGCTTGGAAGGTATAGTTATTTCTTATAATATATGTTTCTGAACTAAGATCTCGCATGTCGTTGGATAATTGATTAATTAATTAAATTGGTTTGAAATAGACGACCAAAATAGATATCGATAGGCAGCTGTATTGAGGTAGACCGAGTGAAACGGCAACCAGGGCTGCGTTTTAAGATGGTGTAGAATATTGTAAATTTGGATTAGTTTAGGGGGCGTTTGTTAAGTTTTGTATATATGCATGTGGGAATGCATGTGGAGAGATCTGCCAAACCAAACACAATGACCCAATTAGGACAGCAGATGAAAGGAGAAGGAGATCCAGGTTTCGAATTTCCAATTTTTTCTTGTCTGTTATCATACTCGGATAATATATTATATATTTACCTAATCTTTTCTTTGCCCACCATATAATTCAATAATTAATCAATATTTAATTTGTCTTATATATATATATGCTAAAAATTATTACAAGAAAAGTTATTATATGATAATCAGTATAAGAGTTTCGAAACGGAGACCACTAATATTTAACAAAAATAAACAAAACATCCTAAATGAAGAAAAGTAACTCGATGCATTTAAAAAAAAAAAAAAAAAAAAAAAAGACCCCTTAAAATCTTGCAAAGCCAGTACCAATAAATGGTCTTTTTTCTCTAAGTAGTAATAGAAAGAATAGGAGGATTTCAAATTTTTCACCATTAAAATAATAATAATAATAATAAATTGGAGTGACACATATTTGAGAATAAGTATTTAATTATTGAATTAGAGAAGAGATGAGGACGAGGGGAAGGAGTGAGGAGGATTCCAACAATTCCGGGACTGGGAGGGGTCAAGATTCTAAACGAATAAACATTAATGTGTAATGTAAGCATTTTAATTCATTTTTCAACCCAAAATTACGCTAATTACATATACATAAATAATATGTATGCATGTTCAATAATGCATCATGTTTGCCAGTTCAATACCCTCATTCACCTGCTTTAATAATAATAATAATTCTTCAATTAATGTGTCTCTTTTATCTTGTTCTTCTAATAATTTTTGGCATCTCAAGGTTTATTACATTTGAAACAAGTCAAAGTGGTATAATTTGGCCTTGTACTTTTGTTTTTAATTGGTTTGGTTGGTTTTAGATTCTATATTACGTTATCAAATGAGGTTCTAATTATTTATTTTCATTGGAAATAATCTTACCGTTCCCATTACTTTCAGAAGCAGAACAAACCCATTTTCCCAATTGTTTATAAAATGTAGTTTTTCATTTCTGAAAAAAAGGAAAAAAAAAAGTGTTTAAATGGATAAAAGGCAAATTGAGTATTGGTAAAATGTAAAAATGAGTATGGAAAGGGAGAGAGAATTTGAAGGATTGAGAAAGATTGTGGAAGAATAAAAGGAAATGAGCCACTCAACTCTCAATGGCAAGATTCAGATGAGTCAATAGAATGCCATTAACTAACTTCCGCCCAACAAGGTGCCAGTGGGATGGGCCGAAGCCAGTAATAGAAAGGCGTTTGGAAGCCCACGGCCCAGTTTCAGCCAAAAGAGCCCATAGTGTATGTTGGGCTGAACTGAAGTTGTGGGGAGGAGAGATTACATGGGACTCCAAAATTGATTTTAGAAAAGTTTAAAATCACTTTAAATTGATTTTTAAAGTATCACTTGGATAGTCAATGGTGATTTTGGAAAGTCAATTATACTTCGATCTCTTTTCTCAAAATCACTCATTCTACTGTCACTCTCAAACACAAGGACAAATACATTTTTAATTATTCCCTGAAATTTAGAACTATTTAGTCCCTAAAATATTTTTAGTTCATGATTCTAACAGATTCCTTAGATACTTTAAATTTAAAGTTCGTCTTCCCAAATCAGGAAATACACATATGGTTGAGTTCAACCATTGGCCATGACCAGTGACAGAGCAACAAGAATGAGAGGAGGAGAAGGAGATGGAAAGTTTAATCACAATAAAAGATTTTATTAAATTAACATAATATACAAAATTTAACTGCACGTGAGTCAGCTAATTGTAAAAGTATCTTAGAGAACATTTAGAACTATTTTACCAATTTCAATGACCAAAAATATCTCTTCTTTTTTTTTTTTTTTTAAGTTTAGAGACTAAAGAGAAGACGTATTTCAAATATGATAGACAAAAATATTGGTATAGATATAATAAAATGGAATGGAAAGGAAAAAGCATGATTGGATGGGACAAAAAAGGAAAGAATGTGGGTTTTATTGGTATTCCAAAAACGGGAAGTAATGAATATTATAAGGAACTCCAATTGGGCAAAGAAGGTTGGTTGGTTTGGCTGTACTCTGTACATGAACGAGTGTGTTGTGTTGTGTTGTGGCTTCCACCGCATCTCCCACCCTGCTTTCTGCTTTCTACTTTCTGCTTCTGCAATATGGAATATGGAATATGGGAATCTGTGAAGTGTATTGTGTATTCACTTACAAAGCCCAGATTCCCCATTTTCCCTCTCACTGCCCACTACCCCTTAACCACTACCAAACCCACTTTCCTATTTCCCTTTTTTCCTTCTACCCAATTTTCTATACTCAATTTCTTACTCTGTGTTTCAACTCAAAACTAATATATCAATTCTGTGTATCACTATCATCCATCCTAACAATCTCAACCAAAACACTACAATCTCTTAGCTGGAAACCTCTTATACTGGATCCATGTTTCAAAACTACATCTAACGCTAATTAGGTGTGCGAAGGTCTAGAATTGTAGGAGAGGAAAAAGAAAAACGTACGTGCCATACAAGTGAAATTCAACTCATCTCTTGAAGTTATCCATCTTCTTAATAAAACTGCCACATGTATTTGATGGAGATTGATCTTATCATCGAGGAGACTTTTTAGTTCAACCTTCAATCGCATAAATATTTATACAGTTTGCGAATAAAAATTAAATTTCATCCGAATTCTATTTTGATAATTGGAATACTATGGTAGGGAATGTTTTTTTTTTCCTCCATAGGAAGAAATTAAATAGAATTGAGTAAATTGGACCATTTCTTTTTTTATTATATACAAAACTCTACGTTACTTATGAGATTAACTTCAAAAGAAATATAAATTATAAATTGCTTAAGATGGGGATAAGTTTGTCTTTCCTTGAAAATCACAATCAAACATATTAAAAAAGATCTTTGGTCCACAATATTAACAAGTCAAGGTCTATGTAGCATGAACTTAAATTGTATAGAAAAATTAAAGTTACAAAACATATGACTCTTCTTTTTAAAAAAAGTATTATTAAAATATAAAAGAGAAGAAAGTTTGTGTATTAAATTCATTATAACATTTTAAATATAACGACCATTTTGAAACAAACAAGAATCGAAAATGGACAAACCATAAAAGAAGTTTAAAAACTCATTAGCTCAGCTGATTTAATTGTCAAATTTTATAATTTTTTTAGAATCCTTCTCCAGTAAATTTGCAACATTGAATATTTTAGTAGATTCTTTAT